CTGCTGTTAAGTACTACCGCGCCCAGTCCCCTTTGCAGAGTTACCGTGCTGCCACTATTTTAGAGAGGTCTCCAGCCTGACTCTGAGCAAAGGGGGAATCAGCCTCGCCAGTGCTCATGCGCGAGGCCTGAGCCGCTGTTTTGGTCACAGCCGATGAGCACCATTTCCTGGGGATTGGTCCCTGAGACTTGGTGGTAGAAGCTCCTGTGTGATAGTGAGTCACGCCAGTCGGGCAGAGCAGTCCTGCCAGGGCGCAACTGATGGTCCCAGAGGCTGATTCACGGAGAACTGACCAGCAGGGAAGAAACCTCAGGAGGAGGAAGAAACCTCAGGCTGATCTCCGGGAGGTAGCGTGAGATCCCAGCCTCAGGCCAGGATTCGTGAGCGTCAAATGAGCCTCTTCTTCCCAAATCTTCACTTCACCCACCGCCTCAGACCCTACAGGCAGCCCCCGCTCCACCACATTTTTTTTTATGTAGTCAGTGTCTCAGTGTCACCCAGCTCCGGGAGTGCAGTGGCGAGATCTCAGCCTGCAAAAGCCTCCCTCGATTCAAGTGACTTTCCCTCCACTCTCCTGAGTACCTGGGATTAGAGGGGGATTAGTCAGAGTCAGGCTAAGACCAACTCTCACCAGGGGCATAGACGGATGGTCTTGAGGCAGGGATTCACGGAGGGTCATCCAGAGGGAAGAAACCAAGGGCAGAGGGTCAAAGCAGCGCTGATCCCAGGTTGCCCAGCTCCACCACCAATGGTGTGCCAGTGAGTCTCTTCAAAAGAGGAGAGGTTTGCTTGTGTGGTCAGGCCACTCTCTACCCACGGGTCATATTGCCAGAGGAGCAGAACCTGGCAGCTTCAGGGGCTGCCCTGGAGGGGTGTTATCGTGCCACTGCTATATGTTTTTGTGCTGCTTGTGTGTGTGCCTACGCCTTATTTCTCCTTTCTCTCTTTCACTCTGTGTCCTGTGTGTGTGTGTGTGTGTGTGTGTGTGTGTGTGTGTGTGTGTGTTGGGACACATGTGCCCTGTGTGCCGGAGAGGGTGGCATTCGTACGTCGACCTTCCTTCTCTGGTCAGCCTCTCCTGCGCCTGCCTGGGTGCATGTGCTGTTGTCAGTCGCTTCCGCTGTTCCGGCAGGGGTTTGTGCAGTTCAATGGTGGGAGCTGCCCATCTGGGCAGATATCAATCACCTCCACCTGGAAAGGCTCCTCTTTTCAGATTAAGACCCTACCTCTGTGCCAAGGTAATAGTTCCCACCTGTGGAGAAGTCATTGTCTACCTGCAGGAAAGTGTGGGAGCCACTTCAAAGAAGATGGCGTTCTCATTCTCTCCTTTCATCCATTGAGAAATCTAGCCACAAGGTAACATACAGGTTTTGAAAAGAAGGGAATAGGACCATGGCAAGGATTTGTGAGTGTGCACAAGCCACATACACAAAATATGGGTTTGGGTGAGTGTTCTTTGCATAGATAGCTGGCATTTAACTTGCCATTGAATCAAGAAAGCAAAAATAAGGCAGAAAAAATAGGATACAACTTCTGCCTGCCAGTCCGTCTGATTGTTACAAATGGCCAGTAATTTTTAATCATTCATGTAAAGGTCCTTGGCAGTGATACCTAATTTCTAAGATAGCCTTGCTTTATTTAAAAGCATTATTGTCATATCAGAAAAATTGTACCTCCTTCCCATCCTCCTTTTATATAATGGGACACACCATATTTAATACAATAAAACAAATGCTGTAGCAATCATTGTTACTTAGTTCTCTAAATTTCTTTATTGGCCAGGTTCCTTCAAGGGTAAAAAAATACTTTTTATGTCTGCACTCTTCCAGCCATGTGCAGATTTCATCTTAAACAACCTAAGTATTGAAATGCTTGTGCCCTTTGATTAATTTTTCCTACATAAATACTTTGATAAACCAGCATTGAGGCCAGGTGGCAGTGGTTCACACCTCTAATCCCAAGTTCCTTTGGGAGGCTGAGGCAGCTGTGCCAGATCACAAGGTCAGGAGATCAAGACCATCCCGGGGCCAAATATGGTGGAACCCCATCTCTTCAAACATACAAAGAATTAGCCAGGAGGCTGCGTTGTCTATGCCGGCCCCCGCTTCTACTTGGGAGGCTGGTGGCAGGCAGATCACGAAGGTCAGGAGTTCAAGATGAGACCAGCTCCGCCCAACCTGGTGAAACCTGTGCCTTACTAAAAAAAACTACAGCTCAGCGGTGCGGTGGCAGGCCTGCCTGTAATCCCAGCTACTCAGGAGGCTGAGGAAGGAGAATGCTTGAACCCAGGAGGCGGAGGTTGCAGTGAGCTGAGATTATGCCACTGCACTCCAGCCTGGGTGACAAGCGTGAAAATTTACCTGGAAAAAAAGTAAAACTTTATCAAGCGCTGAAATGGCAAAGATTAAACCTGAAGATCACGCCTAGCGAGAAAGACACAGTTATTTCAAATTGTCTGACACTAAGGAATAGAGGCACTGCTATGAGGCATCGCCACAACGCAATCCCAGCACATGTTGGGAGACCAAGGCAGGTGGAGATCGAGGCCAGGAGCGCCCACATCAACTCCTGACCAACATGGTGAAACTCTGTCTCTACTAAAAAAAAAAAGTACAAGAAAATAGTCGGGCGTGATGGCACATGCCTGTAAAATCCCAGCTACTCAGGAGGCTGAGGCAGGAGAATTGCTTGATCCCCAGGTGGCAGAGGTTAGGTGGGGTGGAGATCATGTGCTGCACTGCCCCCTTAGCCTCGGGGTAACAGAGGTGAAAATTGTCACACACAAAAAAAAAAAAAAAAAAAAAATAACATAGTAGTTATTAGGGTGATACTTACTAGAGAGGAATCTGGAATTCTGCAAAATGTCCCAAATTTCAGCAGCTGAAAATGCTCTCAAATGTAATTCAAGTTAGCCTATATCAAGCTTCAATTTATGTGAATAGCGCTTAGTCTGTATCTTCACCCATGGTTTAAAATCAATTCCATAGTCTTTCTTTGGCTAATTCTTTCCTGCAATCCTTCCACATGGTAGCAAGAGCCCAGCCTCTGAGATCGTGCTTCCTTCCTTCCCGCCTCCCACTGAAATGCCTTCCCCTAATCTCCTGGGAAGGTATCAAACCGGTCAGGGATGAGACAACCTCTACTTCTGGGAGTCCCCTCCCCAACCCCTTGAAGTCACAGGCATTCCTGATGTCCCTGCCCCTCTCATCCACATCACTGAACAATTATGGCACACATCTCTGTACTTCTATTTAAACCATTCATACAGGTTACAACAATTCATCATGAATGACTGTGTATGGATAGATGAAAGGAATGCTGAGGGAGGGACTCTGGTTAGAATGAGTCATACTCTTCCAGGACTAGGAAATGAACTTTCCCCAGTACTCAACCAGGGCAGCCTCCAGGGCAAGCAGAAAAGGTAAGTGATCCATCCTTGATAGCCAAGATGGAATACAGGTAATTCTCACCTCGACTCTCAGTTGGAAACCCCCAGCCACAAGGTGAAGCACAACCACTCCAGAGCCCCACAGTTGTGGGGCCGGGGGATGTCACAGAAATCACTAGGGCAGCCCCCATCGTGGGGCCCAGACTGACCCAGCACCTCAAGCTTTGCTCCAAACTCCAGGCCAGGGAGTGAAGCCCTGTCCCCAAGCCACAGAGTGAGGTTTGTCTCTCTAACCTCTGTAGGCTCCAGTGAAAGGAAATGGTCGCAGCCTACAGGAGAGCACCTGAGTTCTGGAGATGACAGCTCACGGGCTCCAGCCTTCATCCCCGAGAAACACAGGGACACGCAGAGGGGCATGTGGACTGCCTATAGGGCACCCATGGAACACGGATGCACCCTGCAGATCCTGAAATCGGTCAGGTAATGAGGTGCAGAGGTGGGGAAGACTCCGAGGGGAGGCCTTACTGGGTGCCAACCAGCCTAACTAGCCGGGACCACAGACCAGAAGTGCTGCTGATGTTAATGACACTTTTGGAAGGTGTGTATGATGGGTAGTAGAAGACTGCAGAGGCCTGGGGATTGCAGTTTTGGGAGCTAGAGGTGGAAAGAAGCTGGTTTTGCCTGGCCACAGGGTGCCTCTGGATATCTGCACAGCACACAACCAAGTTTATGAGTTTCACTGTTACATGCCCAAGTGACATTGACAAGTTTCGCTTGAGCCAATGAGGTTCGTTGACCACAAGAGCATCACGGTACCGTTGAAGGATTCTGGAAAAATGTGGTCCGTTGGCCGCCGTATGCAGTGACCTTCCCTGAAGGTGACTCAAGAGTCACCACGCAAGTCTCTCCTCTCTGGTGTGCCCTTCCCGAGCAGGATGCCAGATTGGGACAGAAGCAGCTCAGGGAGAGGCGACTTTTGCCATAACTCCTGGTTTGCAGGGTGACACTGGCCTGTGTTGCCTGCAGTAGGAGGGTGTACTAGGACAGGGAACCCCCAAGGCTGTTTTCAGGAAGAGCAAGATTGGCTTGCAGCAAACTCCCGGAATGGAGATGGGGAGAGTCTTGTAGCATTTCGCTGCATTTTAGGGATGGAGCCTGGACCTGGGTGAATAGCAAAAGCATCTACCTGGTAGTGGTGGTGAGATGGGAGATTTGAGCCAGAATTCCTGCAGGATTTTTTTTTTTTTTACAGAGTCTCGCTCTGTCACCTGTGACTGAGTGCAAATGGTGTGATCTCGGCTCATTGCAACCTCTGCCTCCCAGGTTCAAGCAAGAGAGAGATTCTCCTGCCTCAGCCTCCCAAGTGACTGGGGATTGGCCGGTGCCTGCCACCATGCCCAGCTACTTTTTTAATATATATTTTTAGTAGCAATGGCGTTTTGCCATGCTGCCCAGCTCGGCCCGAATACTCGACCTGAAGTGATCCACCTGCCTCGCCTCCCAATGTGCTGGGATTATGCGGCACGAGCTCCCAGGCCGATCTCATTTTATCTTTTCTCTTACAGGTTTTTTATTTTGTCTTTTTTTTTTTTTTATCTATGTGGGAAGTATTTGGAGGAAACTTCTGGAGGGTGGGGTGGTGCTGAAGAGGAGGCAACATTGTAACTGTTTTGTTCAACATGGGTGTTTTCTTTATGCATCAATTTGTATTTTTAAAGATATTACATTAAAATTTTGTTTATCTTGATTACTGAGTTTTTTTAGTGCTCCATAAATTCCTCTATCCATAGTCCTGAGCCTTGATACAAAGTGAGAACCTGGCCTCTGGACATCAAGCAGCCAGAAATTCCCTTAGGAGCTTTCCTGAATTGTTGAATTGTGAGTGATATTTTCCTTTCCTGACTTCCCTCTCTCTAATACTAATAATTTCTCATAATCATCCTCCAAAACCACACCCACAAGGCACCTCTGAGACCTATCATGAAGCAGACATTCAAAAATTATTTGTAAATCTTCACACACCACCCCCGCCACAATGTCTTCCAACATCACTTTGCCTGAGAATTAAAAACAAGGTTTGCATGTTGAGTATCAGCCCTCCCGTTGGGTGGGTGTTTAGGAAGGAGGATCAGCCAAGAGTCTTATTCCAGCCCAGGTAAATGACCTTGCCAAAGATTTAATAACCACAAATGTGGAATCCTTGTAACAGAACTCAGTGGGAACCAAAGTCAGGGTATGGGGCTGGGCTTTAAGGAGCACAAACGAAAAGGAAGGACTAGAAAACTTCAGAAAGGTAATTGGTTGGGGATGGTGGGGGTAGGGGGATGGGGGACAGGAGGTGATGTGGGATCCTGAGATAATCCGAATCCCTATGTGTAGATGTATTGTACAAAGGCTGTAAAGAGAGACCCAGGCTGATGGGGTATCTGTAATCAAACATAATGTGGCAGCAGGTCAAGTGATAAGGGGACTTGAAACAGAACAAGCAGCAAATGAGCAGTATCAAATCAGCAAGTAGTTAACCAACACCAAGACACTAAGAAATAAAGGTATTCCAGGAGGATCCAGGTGCTCCGTGCAAAAGACCAAGCAGTGAGCAGACGTGTGTGTTAGTGATTCCCACAGGCATGAACTGAACATCATCTCATACAGCATCTCACAGTTCTGTGTGCATCAGACTCCGTACCGGGGACTTGTTAAATGGCTAGATTGTTGGGTCTCCACTTGAGTTTCTGGTTCGGTGTGTTTTGCGGTGCAGCCTCTGAGTCTGTATTTCCAGCATGTTTTTCAGGTGCTGCTAATACTGTTGGTCCAAGGACTTTACTATGATCTAATTTAATACTAGGTTTCAGCTGTTAAAGAGCAAAGAAACAAATAGAGGAAGGGACCTGAAGCCTGTAGGGGCTTTTTCTGTAAACTCTCAATCATAAAAGCTCTCAAGGCACTCAAAGAGCATTTACAGCATCATGTCTACAACATAAGATACTCACGCAGGAGTGCTCCATCAAATAGAGATGAGCCCACTGAGGTCCTCCTCTCTTCTTGTCTCAGTCTAAGTTTGTGTTGCTATAACAGAATACTCAGACTGGGTGATTTATAAGCAAGAGTTCACTTGATTTGGTGGTTCTGGACACTGGAAAAAGTGGGAGAGGGGCCTGCATTCAGAAGGTCTTGCTGTGCCGTCCTATGGTGGAAGGTGGAAGGGCAAGAGAGTGACCACATGTGAGAGGAGGGAGGGGGAAAGGGAGAAAGGGAAGGAAGCCATCCTCATTCTTTTATCAGGAACCCACTCCCAAGACAACTAACCCCCTCCGCCTTCATCCATTCCTGAGGGCAGAGCCTTTATGACCTAATCGCCTCTTCATGGTTCCACTGGGCAAGTGGGACTATTGCATTACAGGTTGGGTTTCCAGCACATGAACCTGGGAACACCTTCAAACAGCAGCAGTCCTCGTGCAAGCCTTCCAGGAAAACCCGTGTGCCTGGCACTCTGAATCCCTTTTCACCTCCTTCACTGCAACTCTAACATCATGATCCTCATCATTTTCCATTCATATTGGTGAGTTAACACAATCATTACCCATTTTTTATGAACCATTCCTAAAATTAAAATAAATCTTATCACTCAAATAGAAATTTGCAAAAATAAATTTCATTTTTGATTTGAGTGAATATGAATTTGAATTTTTTTCTTTTCTTTTTTTTTTTTTTTTTTGAGAAGGAGTTTTGCTCAGGCCAGGCTGAGTGAAGTCATGAGATTCTGGCTCACTGCAACCTCTGCCTCTGGGTTCAAGCAATTTCCGCCTCAAGCCTACTGAGAAGGGCAAGGCTGGGATTATCAATACCCACCAAGACGCCCAAGTAGCTAATTTTTGTATTTTTTTTTTTTTTTTGAGATGGAGTTTCACTATTGTTGCCCAGACTGGAGTACACAATGCAAATGATGTTGCTTCACAAACTCCGCCTCGCAGGTTCAACGATTCTCCTGCTTCAAAGGCCCTGGGTAGCTGTGATTACAGGCATGCACCACCAGCCACCTGACTAATTTGTATTTTTAGTAGAGACGGGGTGCTGCCATGTTGGCCAGGCTGGTCTCAAACCCCTGACCTCAGGTGATCCGCCCATCTCGGCTTCCCCAAAGTGCTGATTACAGGCATGAGCCTATGTCCGGCCCTGGGAATATGAAATTCTGTATTAGTTTAATGAAACTCTAAAATATATAGAAAAAGTAAAATAATTACCAAAACTGTTCAATGATGCAAAGCAACACATACAGTGAGATCTTATATCCTAAAATATATAGACCTAAATAAGTTATTTTAAAAATCAGGCAGAAACATAAGGGGCTATATAGACACCTTTCAAAATAAGCTTGGCTGAGCGGTGGCTCATACTGTAATCCCAGCACTCTGGGAAGCTGAGGTGGGATCACCTGAGGTCAGGAGTTCAGGCCAGCCTGGCCAATGGTGAAACCCCGTCTCTACTTCTAAAAATATAAAAATTAGCTGGGTATGGTGGTGGGCACCTGTAATCCCAACTACTCAAGAGGCTGAGAGGCAGGGAGAACTGCTTGAACCTGGGAAGTGGAGGTTGTAGGGAGCTGAAACATGCTATTGTACTCCACTCTGGGTGACAGAGCAAGACTCCATCTCAAGAAAAATAATAAAAATATTAAATAAGCTTTCTAGGTTGGGCACAGTGGAAGATAGACGGGCAAAAGACTCACCACATATAAGAGGAGGGAGGGGGAAAGGGAGAAAGGGAAGGAAGCCTTTCTTTGGGAGGTTGAGGCGGGCAGATCACTTGAGGTCAGAGCTCGAGACCAGCCTGGGGCTAAAATGCAAACTCCATCTCTACTAAAAGCAAAATTAGCCAGACTTGGTGGTGCACATCTATTACGTAATCCCAGCTACTTGGGAAGCTGAGGGAGGAGAATCACTTGAACCTGGAAGGCAGAGGTTGTACTGAGCCAAGATCGCACCACTGCACTGTAGTCTGGGTGACAGAGCGAGACCTTACTTCAAAACAAACAAACAAAAAAACAAAAACACTTTTGCAGGGCTGTGGGGCAGACAGGAATCAAGGCAGAAAGAGCAAGTGGATATATAAAATCACCCTCCAGAGCTGTGCTGTCCAATAAGACTCCACTACTTGGGAGGCTGAGGTGGGAGGATCATTTGAGCCCTGAAGGCTGCAGGCTGCAGTGAGCTGAGATTGTGCCACTGCACTCCAGTCTAGCAGGTGGACAGAGTGAGACCCTATCTTCAAAAAAAAAATTAGATGGGCATGGTGGTGGTCAGGACCAGTCTGACTAAACATGGAGAAACCTGTTTCTACTAAAAATACAAAAGTAGCCAGGTGTGGTGGCACATGATTGTAATCCCACCTACTCAGGAGGCTGAGGCAGGAGAATCCTTTGAACCCAGGAGGTGGAGGTTGCAGTGAGCTGCTGAGATCATGCGCACAGAGCCTCCAGTTTGGCAACAGAGCGAGACTCTGTGTCTCAAAATAAAAAGAAAAATACACTTTTGCAGTTTCAAAATCAATCAGTGGAGCACTTCAGGTTTATCCTCCTATGCAGTGCTCCCTCTGCACATGCAGGATTAATAAACCTTGAAAATATTATGCTAAGGGAAGAAGCTAGTCACAAAATACTACATGTTATGTGTAATTCCCATTTAAATAAATGTTCAAATACAACAATACGCAGAGACAGAAAGTAGATTAGTGGTGGCCCAGGGTTAGGGGAGTTGGGTGGGAAAATGGAGGGGCGCTAAGCAGGGTTTACTTCGGGGTCATGAAATGGTGACCCAAAATTTATTGTGGTGATGTTTGCACAACAGTACAAACATACTGAAAACTATTGAATTTGCACTTTAAAATGGGTGGCTTCTGTGGTATGTTATTAATATTTCTCAATAAAACTTCAAAAGTATAGTGCTTGTGTGTCTTTTTAATGTATTTTTCTCGAGATTGGAGTCCACAAATTTTACACTTGAGCGAAGAAATTAAGAGTTTGTTTCTTCTTTTTTTTTCTTTTTTTTTGAGACCAAGTCTCCTCTCTGTTGCCCAGACCGGAGTGCAATGGCTCGATCTTGGCTCACTGCAACCTCCAGGATACTTTTGTATTTGTAGAGACAGTGTTTCACCATGTTGGCTAGGTTGGTTTTTTGAACTTCTGATCTCGCGAGTCCTGTGACCTAGGCCTCCCAAAGTGCTTTGTGGATTACAGGCATGAGTCACCGCGCTGGCCCCAAGATTAGTTTCCGTTGTTTCAGATGCCCTAGGATCATTTCAGGGAAATTTACATTTAGGTCCTGTAAGTGGCTTTGTTTCAAGTTTATCAGTTGGTACAGTGGTTTCAGCACCTGTAATCTCAACACTTTGGGAGTCCAAGGAGTAACAGCTGAGCCCAGGAGTCAAGACCAGTCTCTGCAACATAGTCACACCCACATATCTACAAATAAATTTTTAAAGTAGGGGACATATTGGTGCATGCTCAGGTCTCAGCTACTACATAGGCTGAGGTAGGAGGAGATCACTTGACTTCCAGGAGGAGGCTGCAGCCAGATTATACCACTGCACTCCAGCCTGGGTGTGACAGAGTAATACCTTGTCTAAAAAAATTATTTTTTAGTTAGAATTTTTTTTTAGAAACAGCATACACTTAGTGACT